AGGTCAAAGGTCAAATCCAAGGGTATATTTGAAATCTACACATATGACTTTTGGAAAGCCGTCTATAGAAATTTTTCCCATAACTCCTTCCGTAGGGTAGATAATTAGCATTTAATTTTGCCATTTTTAGACAAGGGTGCATTGTAATGCGTGCCACACCCAGACCCCAATACCGACAAAGCCCAAATTTTACGTGGAACAAGTTGAGATTATAGGTGACCTAAATCCATGAGATGGGTACGGGGGCCCTTACCGTCTAGGAGGAGAAGCGGTAACGGTAGCCGTCCGGCGGAGCCGGCGGAACGATCCGGACGGGACCGAAACCATGTGTACCGCCAGCGCTAACGCTGGTGGTACAATAATATCGTTTGGAAAATAACTCACTGATTTAATTATGCTTTTGCAACATGAAATTATCATTAACTTTGCCGGTTCACGTGTACACAGTACCTTGCTATCAGTGCTGCTCTTTTCTCCCCAACTCGCCACTGACATGCTAACCACATCGTTTCAAAACAACGTTGGTATGCTCCTTTACTTTTGGTGTTGGCAGTTTCGCCCCGGGGACATCGTTTTCGGTTAAAAACAACGTATCGTTTTCACCCATCTTTGCACTGCTCCTGTACAAAATGTCCGCTTGCTGCCCCCCAAGTTAAAAATCGTAGCACGTGGGTAGTTACGCAAGACCTGTGACGTACATGTATAACACACTTATTGAAGTGCCTGAATGGGTTGTTAATGGTTCAACATCTTGGTGTTGATCTCAATTGCAAGTACAGGTAGCATCATCCTGATAGGGAAAAGTTTTCTTACCTGACAATGGGCTAGGCAAGTTATGGGCATTTCGTGGAGCAGTAACATGGTGCCTTGGCAGGGAAGGACCTTGCTCTAAACTTTCATAAGGCGGTGGGCTGCTCCATGATGTGGCCCCGTGTGTCTGGCAGGCAGCACTGAAGCCTATTTAAAAACTTATCTACATTATACAGACTGTGAGATAAGACAGTCCTTTTGTACTTTTTCTTGGAGAAACATTGAAATGGAACGCAGTAATGTACATTAAAATATGCACTCAATGGACGAAAGCAAGTAACCCAAATACCTTGTAATACAGTACCAATGCTCATGAAGACACCCAAATTGAGATATAAAAGAACCATCTATATGAGAAACTAATTTTACATCGTCCATGCGGATAAAAACTGGACATGATCTTTATGATATTATGTTATTTATAATTAGCCTACTTGCATATCCCCACGTGTATGTAGACTCCATTTGGCTAACTTCAGATATTTTAAATAAATGAAAAAACCGACTTCATAAATAAAAGTTGTGATTTTTTTGTCAATTAATATAAAATCTGTGCTACTCATATCTCAATCCCCTCATATAAGATAACTGCCGTATTTTTGGTATAGCCTTGTACTATACATACAACTGTATACCGGGTGGACTCAGAGAATTCTCCTAGACCATAACTGACACTGCATAACATTAATAATAAAACAACACAAACAACATATAAAGTGCATATGGACGCAGTTAGCGCACGAATTTTATTTCAAACCATCTTCAATCATTTACAAACAATATAAATAAATAATTAAATAAATAAATTATAAACACGAGGAGACCCTCTCCTCACCAAAACTCCTTATCATCTCTTCCTTTTATATATAAACAGGAATCACCGGGATATCACATCCCTAACAGCTCTTCTGAGCTCATCTTTCCCTTACCTAGGGAATCACCAGGATATCACATCCAAACAGCTCTTCCGAGCTCATCTTTCCCTTACCTAGGGAATCACCGGGATATCACATCCCAACAGCTCTTCCGAGCTCATTTTTCCTTACAAAGGGAATCACCAGGATATCACATCCAAACAGCTCTTCCGAGCTCATCTTTCCCTTACCTAGGGAATCACCGGGATATCACATCCCAACAGCTCTTCCGAGCTCATTTTTCCTTACATAGGGAATCACCAGGATATCACATCCAAACAGCTCTTCCAAGCTCACCTTTCCCTTTTTAGGGAATCCTAAGGATATAACATCCCAACAGCTCTCCCGAGTTCATCTTTCCCTTACATAGGGATTTAACAGAATATCACAACCCAAGCACTTTCGATTTCATTTCTCCCATACATAGGAAATCACCAGAGACCACCTCCCAAACACCTCTTTCGAACTCATCTTTCCTTTACATACGGAATCACGAGGATATAACATCCAAACAGTTTCCAAGCTCACCTTTCCCTTTTTAGGGAATCATAAGGATATAACATCCCAACAGCTCTCCCGAGCTCATCTTTCCCTTAACCCCATAGCGCCTGTCAGCATCTGACCTAGAAAGTGCTCTTGGTCCTGAGCCCTCTACACGGACGCACTCAATTTTACAGGCGGCCTCATTTAATCAATGATAATATATTCACTTGTTTAGAAAACACCTATGAACTGTACATTTTTAAAAAGCCAACAATGTAAGCTTTAAAGTCATATCAGTTTTATTCATATTTGTTAACTAAGGTAGAAATAGCAGGAGTTTAAATATATGACTTGCTTTTCTCGTAGAGAAGTAAAAAACAAAACTTTAATTTCAGCATGCACATTCTTTTTCACTTAACCAAATAATTTGTTGAAATTTTCTCATAAACATTCGAAATATGTTTTAAACAATTTCAGAAAGATATCGTATTTAGTTTTTGAGTTATAATAAGTTTCCTGGGATGCGTGCTGTACCTAAAAACCTTCATCATGCCAGCTAGTTGCACAATATACTGGCGGGCTAGCTGACTGGAAGACTTCCACCTAATTATGTTTATAATTACAAATAGATTGTAAATTAAGTGCCTTTTTCAATAGTTTTTCTCTAGTTTTTTAATCAACTGAACCCGGATACTCATAAAATTTTGTTTTGCACTCAAATCATATACAAGAATACAAACAATATCATGAGCAAATATTACACTTTCGTGAATAAAAATTGCATCATAAAAATACAAGCAAACGTGGAATTTGTACTAATACACAAGCAGGAAAAGACATGTTGATACAACGCACTAGTAAACATATTACATCTGTATTTATGCACAAGCAGGAAAAGCCATGTGTAGATGCAGCACACAAGTAAATATATGTCATTTGAACTTCTACATAAGCAGGAAAAGACATGTTGATGCAGTACAAAGAAACATATGACATTTGTATTTATGCACAAGCAGGAAAAGACATGTTGATACAGCACACAAGGCAACATTTAGCCTGACTTGCCACGGAACGTTTACAGTCATTTTATCAGCAATATAACCCTTCCAATTACTATTGTCGTCTGCTTGGTTACTGCCGTTAGTATCATCAGCGTTTTTCATAAATCAAGCCCGCGTCCGAATCTGCTCTCTGACAACTCATACTAGCCAAAGGTACATAATCTTTAAAGTTATCGGAGTATCAAAATCTATCAAGGACGCTTCCCCGAAGTCTGAATTTTCAAACAAATCTAGAATATTTCTCAACCCATAATTTCTGCTGACTTCTCGTCGCCATTTTGACTTCTTAGCGCCTCGACAATGGTTGAAATAAATCGCTTTTTCATCATCCAATTCTTGCTACACGTCTTTCAAAAGCCAGTAGTAAACAGAAAACTAACATTAAGTTATTCTTGTGACAGAAGCAGGAATTGTTACAAACGACAGAGGACAGTACAATCATGTAAACACAGAAACCGCGTATAAGCAGTTCCCGGCACTGAGGACTTTTTAAAATGAACCGCATATGTGCGGTTCCCGGCGCTATGGGGTTAAATAGGGATTTAACAGAATATCACAACCCAAGCACTTCCGATCTCATTTATCCCATACATAGGAAATCACCAGAGACGACCTCCCAAACACCTCCTCCGAACTCATCTCTCCACTACACAAGTGCAAAACTACCTCCCAAACAGCTCATATAAATCAATCATTAAATTAATATATTAATAAACATAAATCGCACCTCCAAACACACACCCATGCACACTGTACGCCTACACTCTAACACAACATACACTATACTTATTTTGAAAACAAAAACATTGAATAAAAATAAAAATAGCCACTGCAGCAATAACCAATGTAGTTATAAAACAAAATGAATCACATGTACTAATCAAATTAAAACAACAAAACCATAAACAAAATTTGAAAAATAAAAATGTACGTGTCAACTGGTCTGCGCTAACTGGTCGAATGAACAACTGTCATGACTTACCCACAATTCTTACCAATATCACAACACAATATATACAGTGTCGCCCCCTAGGAAAAAATAATTCCATTCTTATTCACTTCGCTCAAACGAATAGAATTATATTTCTCCTAGACCATAACCGACACTGTATACCATTAATAATAAAACAACACAAACAACATATAAAGTGCATATGGACGCAGTTAGCGCACAAGTCGAAAACAAAGAACGGGAATGTTAAGTTATACAGACCCAATTTTTTACTAACAAAAAATCTGTCGGAAATTATCTGTCACATAGCCATCTTTAGCTGTTACCAAACTCCACTTTCCATGTCTTTTAAATAACCTGTCTAGAACACCAGCTCTTGTGGCAGCAGTAGCAGCACCTGCTCTCAAACTATGTAAAACAAATTGTTTTATATCTTTAACAAGAGGAGAAAAAAAGAGGAAATTAATAATTCTCTCATTCTAGTATATGAAATAGGCTTATCATCATATCTAATATTGAAGTGCTTGGTGACAGATCTAAAAATATACAAATCCGAATGCTCAAGATTCACACAGAGAACAATTGCTCTAAATTTTTAACAGGACAAAGCTTTGAATAAGTTCTACATGTAGCAATAACCATATGAGAACCATCTCTAGAGATGTCCGTTTTGCTCTTTTCAATAAAAATCGACATGTATGAATCATGAAACAAAACATCACTAATCCTTAAATTTAACAGCTCTAAAACTCGAATAAAGCCTGCATAAAAAAGCAAGCAAGCACATATAGCACATTGAGAATACACATTTCCTTCTTCAAAATTTGCATCAAACATTTTTTCCAAAATATCTGGATATATGGGCTCCTTTTTGCAAACTGGCTGTGACTTGTGCCTCTTATATACCTTCCGACACGATTTTTACTAAATTAGAGTCTGTAGGAAACTCTGCGCTTATAATGGCATACACCCATTTAAGCCCGTAAAAAGCCTGATAAACAGGACTAGAAGAATTGGACTGTTCTGCTAAGCACGACAAGTACAAAGCAACAGGAAAACCTTTTGCCGGAAAATTCCCTTGATTGCCGTTCTTCTTCGCCCATAATTCCCATCGCATGAAAGCTGAATAATAACCCTTGACTGTGTTCGATAACCGACTCTCAGACAAAAAATCCAGCAACCAATGGCATTTTACCAGCCATCTCGTCAGGAAGCTCAGAAATGTCATCCTTATAAGCCTGCAAAAACAAAAAGAAAAATTAATTAGTAATTTAAAATCACTTTCATTTATTTAAAAAAATCAAATCTGACTGCCAGCATTTTAAACGGCAAATCCACTCTACCAAACAAACCTCCAGGAACATAACAAGCTTTTTCTCTCGGTAATTCTACATATGCTACAGCTTCCTTTATAAAAACCTGCCTTTAGATAATAAAGGACAAAAACTAGCTGAGTGCCAACAAGGTAAAATCACCGTGCCACAAGCCTTGCATTGCATTAAATACAGTATAACTCTAGATAATACACACATCGGGGGCACAAACCAACCATTCATACCACCCCAATGAACAGTGCCCACCGCACCAGGAGTCCAATATCTAGAATTAAAAAACTGGCAATTTATTGTTATGATCAGAGGCAAGAAAAAATTCAATTTCATGCGGCCCCCAGACTGAATCTAAATAATTGAAAATACTATCTGGCACGCCCAATCATCATAGTCTACTAATCTGCTGATTTGATCTGCATATACATACAGAAATCTTGCATACATTAGATACCCAAAGTTCCATTTGTTTCATACTGTTTCTGCTCAAAACAATTTGTTCATTCCAACATTTAGCTTTAGAAATATCAAAACCCAGACATTTTGTCATAATATAAACCATATTGCAAGTAACAAAAGACATAGAAATGATCTGACCTACTAAACTAGCAACTAAACGCACATGAACGCTGCCTTTTCCTCTAAACAGAGAACGAATATCCGTTATAGTCTAAAGAATTTTAAGAAGTCTGTAATCAGAATGCATAAAGTGCCTTTCTCTAAATTC